ATTTGTTAGTCTCTAAGGTGCCACAAGTACTCCTGTTCTTTTTGCAGTATAGTCTAATAACTTTACTGGTAACACTAAACTTACAATTCTCATTTTGAAACCTAGAGTCATGAAAATTACCCAGATTAATGCCAAAATTACATCAGATTACAGCCCTCCACTTCTGGTTTGAACATGATCAGGCATGCTCTTGTAGCTAAAGCACAGGAAGAGTAGGAATTAGGATTCCTGAGTTCTATTCCTGGATCACTTATTAATTTCCTGTATAAACTTGATTAAATCATTTAATTTGCCTATGCATCATTTTCCTTATCTCATACGAATAATACTACTTACCTGCGTCATAGGGGTGTTGTGAGGTTTAATTAATCAGCAAAGTGCTTTGCGATCCTTTGATGGAAAGCACATTTATAATAATTGCCTTGTTTTGTCAAAGTGGGTGGATAAAAATTGACTTTTTTTTTAAATCAGATTTTTAAATTTAAATTAAACATAAATCAAACTCAAATATGGAGTCACATTTGGCACCTACATCACTTTGATTTAAGTCAATCTACCCTGTTAAATTAAATGCCTTTTTTTCTAGTTCTCTCTCAATTTGAGTTCCAAGTGACAAACAGTCTTTAGATAAAGTCCTGTCAAGGCACCCCTCAGGTTGAGAAGGACTCTGAAACCTGTCTTTAGAATCTGTCATTGTCACTTCTTAATCAGCTGCTTCCTTCCCCAGAGCCAGATGGGCTGCCTCCACAGCATATCCAGTCACCGCCAGCCCCAAGAGCAAGAGACCAAGTTTGGCATGTCTAACAAAGATCTCACATGGGACTGCAGAGCATGACTACTAAGCCACTGGGTTGCCTCTTAATTGTTTAAGATGTAATCTAAACTATTATTACTAATCCCACATAAATTTGACTTTGGAAGGTATTTAGCTGGAAGATGTGGTCAGAATGACTGAGGCTAAAGTCTGGCTCCCTTTGCAGCTGCTTTTGAGAATTAGATCTATGGGACTTGAAGCCTTTGGTAACTAAAATTAATATCTATAAAATGGCTAAGATGTCATTTTTTTACATATGTGACACGTAGCACTCACTGCCACAGGATATTATTGACGCAAATATTATTATTTACTGAGCTCTCTCTTACTGCATCTAGTACTATGGAAAACATACAAGTCAAAGCGACTGTTGCAAGGAGCTCAGAGTCTGAGGCCGTGATCTTGGAGTTCCATTGAATTAAGTGAGCTCTATGTGGGCATAGGGGTCTCCCCACACATAGCACCTTGCAGGAGTGGGCCCTAAAGTTACACAGACAGTACATCTGAAAGACATAATACACCACATACAGTACTGAAATGAAGGCACAGTCTCAAAGGAGTGGTAATGATTTCCTTTCTCTTTAAATCTCTCTCTAGTGGATTCTTGCTGAAAAGCTTTGAGGAAGAAATATGTTTTAATGAGTTTGTATTGTTTTTTAATAAGGTCATTTGTCACTCAGTAACATTTACAACACCAATTAGGTATCTACATTACTAAGAATAGCAGCTACAGTCGATTAGCTAAAATGAATTTACAAAGAAAATGATCAGCAACTGGGGTCAGGAATAATTTTGCTCCATGGCACCAGTCTTACACAGTTAGGTTCAGACTCAAAGGACTTAGGTGCATTATGAATTGTGGCTATGAATTATTTATTCACCCATATAGTTGTTGTTCGGGCATTTGATGTGTTGGATGAGGTACACCACATGTTGTGATAGGCATGAGTAGGACCCATGGATCTTGAAAGGTGTGTTGTGGGGATATGTGTGCGTTGTAGTAGTGGTGCAGCAACAACTATATGGGTGAAATCAGACGATTGCTGTGCTCTCAAATGAACTCACACAGAAAAATGATAAGAGACAAAAAACACCATCACCTCTGGGCAAACACTTTTAACAAAATGATCACTCCATATCTAAACTCTCAGCCCTCATCTTCAAACGAAACCTTCACAAGATGAGCCTGGGAACTGAAATTCATAACTCTGCTGGACACTAAAAACCATGGTCTTAACACAGACACTGGTTTTATGGCTCATTACAACACTCTGGGCTTATAACATTACTACTTATGTTGATATAACTTATGTCGCTCTGGGGTGTGAATAAGCCACCCCCGTGAGTGATGCAAGTTAGACTGACCTAAGCGCCGGTGTGGACAGCGCTATGTCGCACTATATCGGCGGGAGAGCTTCTCTTGCCAATGTAGCTACCACCTCTCATGGAGGTGGTTTTATCATGCTGACAGGAGAGCTCTCTCCTGACGGCATAAAGTATCTTCCCCAGACAGGCTGCAGCTGCGCCACTGTAGCGCTTCTAGTGTAGACTAGCCCTTTGTAGCTTACTAACCCAACTTTGTCCTACAACTGCTAGGGAATTAATTGCCCACTTCATTTTAATCGGTCTCCCCCAACACCTGTTAACTTCTTATACTTAACAATCTGTCCCACCTTGTATTTAGCTGTGACACCTTGGTTACCTTTTCCAGATCTGAGGAAGAGCTCTGCGAAGCCTGAAAGTTGTTGGTGGAAAGGACAAGAAGTTAGTCCAGTAAAAGATATTACCTCATCCACCTTGTCTCACATATCCTGGGACCAACACTGCTCAAACACACAAAACTGCTTATATCAGTTTAGCTTGCATCCATGAATTTACTGACACAAGATAAACCAACATATGCCAGGCTTAACAGGGATGTTCAAATCACTTTAAGTTTTGCACTGGTTTAATTGAACTGATGTAAAAAATACACTTTTAGTTAAATCTGTGTATTTGCCTGTGCAGACCAGGCCAAAGGCTCTCACTGTATTAACATCACTTCAGCTGAAGTGGTAGTGGCACATGTGCATAAAGCCCAAAGCCTGGACAATCCTATGCACGTGCTTAACTGTACTCCTGTGAGTAGTCTCACTGGGCTAATAATGATGTGTCTGCAGTATCAGAACCTAATTTTGTAAAATTGTAAATTTTGTAGAAAAAAAAAAATTAAAAATCTGTAGATATGGCTTGTGGGTGGCAAACCCACCATATGCTCAGATGTATCTCATTCTTGTAGCCGCTAAAGTAACTGGTTGTGTTATAAGGGGGAACAAAAATCCTACTTTGTTTGGTGTGGCTGCTTCACTTTCTTACCCTCTTGTTCTCAGCAATATCCATTTCAGCTTTGCTTCAACTGAGCAATAAACTGCATGTGTTTAAAGAGACACTGCCGAAGGTAGTAGCCCGTAACATAGTTTTTTTCCTTTTATGCTTCCAAAATCTATGTAATGTATAGATGGTTTGCTCCTCCACTATCAAAATAAATTCCTTCAATTTTCCCCCATCCCTTTAAAATGATTGTTTAAAAAAAAAAAAAAAATCAGCAACAGCCTTCCACTCGTGAGCAGCTCTACAATAACAAACCAGTGCGAAAAGATGATTGAGGAAAATATCTTAGGTTGAACTTTTAAAAAAATTTATTTTAGTTTTTTTAAATCACCTTTAATTGATCTAACACAGTTTTACCTTTATTTTTAAACAGCAAGGAACTCGCCCCTTAAAATAATTCCTTTGCCCCCATATACAAATGCAAATAAAGCAATTGAAATTATATCTGTCTTGTGCTTTTCCAGATGGGATCCTTGCTTAAAAATCTCATACATATGTGCATTGACTATTCTAACTTGTACGATTATCTTAGCAAACAGAATTAGATTAGAGAGAACCCCTTAAAATCACAAGATGCGTGGATACACGACAACTCGGTTAATGAAAATATTTAACTGTCTTTCAAGCCAAATTTTCCCTTTTTTCTCCCACCAGAAATCCCTCCTAATCCTGGAAAATTTCCTCCCCATTTATAACTGTCACATGCTGATATATATGAAACACAGACCCTGGATAAAGAGTAAAATACCTGTGGCTCAACCGTCAGCAACGAACGCAGACTACTTCCTCTGTGCAGTACCCTGGCTGCTCCTACCTTTTCACCCAATAACCTTCCTACGCCTCCAAAACCTGGGTCCTAAAGTTCACCCTTTGCAACGCTTGGCAGCAGCGCCAGGCAGCTGACCCACCCAGTGGACACGCCTGGGTGATTTCATGTGCACAATATTCCCCCCCGCCCCGGGGGCGCCCAACATTCCAGCCCTCCCCGGGAGGGAGAGAGAAACGCCTTTCAAGGCGGCGTGTCCCTTCCCGCGGCCCGTTACGCCCTCGCCGCTCTCCGTAGCCGAGCCGGAAGCGCCAGAGGAGCGTGCGCGGCGAGAGCCGGGGAGGCCGCGAGGATGTTGTGGGCGCGGAGGGCGCCCTCGTTAGCCAGGCGCGGGGCCCCGGTGGGGGCCACGTGGGGCTGGGCGCGCTCGGCAGCCTCCGGGGCCAACAGCGGGAAGCCGAGCCCGGAGAGCCGCGCGGACTCCAAGTACCGGGAGACGGTGTTGCTGCCCCGCAGCGGCTTCCCCGCCCAGCTGCCGGGCAGGCTGCAGCCCGAGGCCGAGGTGGAGATACAGCAGGTACCGCGCGCAGGAGCCCGCCGGGTTCGTGCGGAGCTGTTCTGCTCGGCACCGTCCGTCCGCGTGTCCTGCAGCCCCCCTGTGTGGCTTGGGGAATTCATGCTGTTCCCTCTCCTCGCAGCGAGCGGTTTCTAATGAGTCTGTTTTAGTCCTGGAGTGGGAGTGACCTGTGTCACAAAGCCCCCCCCCCCCCCGTATAAAATCTAACGTACGGTTTAAAACCTGTCATTAACAGGAGACCAGCGTAATATCCCTGCTAGAAGATGAGTTTATGATTGTTCACTAGCGCAGCCCTACACTTACAGAACAAATGGTAAACCAAGGTGACGTCAAACTGCAGTTGTTTAACGCAATAGTTCCCAGCCCAGGGCCCCCTGCGGGGGGGTGGGGCACAAGCAGATTTTAGGGGGTCCGCCAAGCAGGGCTGGCATTAGACTCACTGGGACCCAGGGCAGAAAGCCAAAGCCCTGCCATGCAGGGCTGACAATTGAGGCCCTGAGACACCTGGGGCCGAAGCCAGAACAACTTAGCGTTGCGGGGCTCTCTGTGGTGTGTGGCCCCAGCAATTGCCCTGTTTGCTATCCCCTAATGCTGGCTCTGGCTTTTGTATGCAGAAAAACAGTCGTGGCACAGGTGGGCCATGGAGTTTTTAGTAGCATCGGGAGCAGGAGAGGGCTCAGGAAAAAAAAAAAAAAGTTGAGAACCTGTGGTTTAACATGCTCCATTCTTAAAACGTTCATTTACAAGAACTTCCTACAAACCTGTCTCCCCATCAGTTTAGTCTGTCTTGAGTTAGTGGTCGAGGAAGGCAGAAGATTTTGGTTTATAAAGCTTGATGAATGTTAAACATGAGCCAAATGTGTCCCAGATGTTATTTTGATTTCAGGGGAGTTATACCAAGAACAAATCTGGCCAAACAAGTGCTCTATTTAATGTAAGAAAACAGGGACAATATTGTTAGCTTGATAGTGGAGGTTGGCAAGTAATTCCCCAGAGAGGAAAGTCTTCACTTGAGGATTTGGAGCAATTCTGCCTCATAGTTTTTTGACAGTTGGAATGATGTTAAAATGAAAACTTTTTTTAAACTACTAAAATGCAAACTTTTAATGAATTAAATGTTTTCATATTGTCTATACAGAAATGTGGTTTTTCAGAACTATATTCATGGCAAAGACAAAGGAACACAAAGAATGAATTTTGTCTTCATGATGGGCCACCGTATGCCAATGGAGACCCTCATGTTGGTCACGCGTTAAATAAGGTAAGTATAAGAGTAGTATGTTTAAGGTGTTTTATGCCTTCTGTAAGGTGCTGTGCACTCTCAATTCACATTGAAGTAAATGGAAATTGAGGATATTCACTACTTTAGGATAGGGCCATTCATTTCTATTTAATGGGTAAGCATATATAGTAACAATGACAATGACAAATGGCTCTGTGTGGTGCTTATAGTTTCACATTGGTGTTCATATGATAAACTTATTTTCATTCTGTCAAAGTAAATACAGTTTCTACTTCAGCCCAGCAAACTGCTAGATGTATAGTTTGAGTATTACGTGTATAGTGACTTCAGAAGTATGTTACCATAATAAAATGCTAATTCCACTTCGTTATAGCTAGGTGAAACTCTCAAGCCTCTGCGTAGTTGCAAACTGTGGCCTTCAGTTGTGCAAAATTTGGTTGCCCGTTGATCAAGAGGTTCTAATGATGTGCTATTAGAAAGTACAATAAGAAACATAAATGTGAAGGCTGAAACTTAATCTTTAACACGCCTGATTGTGCTTGGGTTTTGCAGAGTACACCAAAACCAGTAAGATATAAAGTAACATACGGCTGAGATGTATCATGCTAATGTGTAGAGGAATGAGGATGGTAATAACAATTATATCAAAAATAACATTTGGCCTAATGTTTTTCTAGATTTTGAAAGACATCACTAATCGGTTCCATATGATGAGAGGTTATAAAGTGCACTATGTACCAGGCTGGGATTGTCATGGGTTGCCCATTGAATTGAAAGCATTGTCGGAACTCAAAGAAACTCAAAATCTTTCACCGATGGAGATTAGACAGAGAGGTAAACTGTCCTTTGCAAAATTTTCCTAGAAACATTTGTGACTTGCAATATTGTATTTTATAAATTGTTTTTGAGTCTTTAGTGGAATATTATTTTGCTGTTTTTCTGTGTGTTTTCATTTTAGTTTCACTACATTGGAATTTGTTAGGAACATCTTGGTTATTAGATTATACTTGATCTGCAAAATATGTAGTGTAAGCTTATAAGGAGGGTGACCTTCATAAAATGGGTTCATCAAGTACAAGTTTGTATGAACCCCTTATAAGTTGTAATAACCATAGATGGAAAGAGGGAATTAAAGGACATGTACATCTGGATTCTAATGTACAGTAACTCCTCCCTTAACGTTGTAGTTATGTTCCTGAAACCTGCTACTTTAAGCGAAACGATGTTAAGCGAATCTAATTTTCCCATAAGAATTAATGTAAATGAGGGGGTTATGTTCCAAGGAAATTTTTTTTGCCAGACAAAAAACATTATACTTACACACACACACACACACTCAGTATAAGTTTTAAACAAACAATTTAATACTGTACACAGCAATGATGATTGTGAAGCTTGGTTGAGGTGGTGGAGTCAGAGGGTGGGATGTTTCCCAGGGAATGTCTTGCTGCTAAATGATGAACTAACACT